AAATATTGTGGGATTGTTTGTATTTTTTAGCTGTTCTACCCAGAAATTGCTGGTTTGTGTATACTTATATGGATTCTTCAGACAAAAAAATACCAAGGAAGCATTTTCTTTTTAGTCTGCTATTGGTCTTAAGTCTCTTTATCCTACTTCTATGTATAAGTGATGCCTTTGGAACTAGAATGAAAAGTTGCTCTGCAATCTTTGCACTTCATATGCTGCTACCCTGCTTGTTTTTTGTTGTTAGGGCATGGTATGTATTAACTGAAGCATTGACATTTATCTATGTCCGCCTTAGTAAATCAGTCCAAGGAGATTTTTTTTTTGGTGTATTGAACAGCTACCTGTATTAGTTCAAAAGTTTTGAACTGTAAAGCAATGCCATCGGTACTATTTTACGTCTTTTTTCTTTCTTTTGGCAGATCGTTCAATTAGACCTCTCTTTCCAGCTGGCTACTTCTATGATACACAGGTAGGTTCTGCTTTAGTTTTATTAGTTTCCAGATCAACCAAAAATAATTAATCTCTGTAATACTTACTAGGCTAAACATTATAGAGAATATAAAATAAGAATTTTCGATGATGCTGTTGTATTTTACATTCAGTTTTTTAAAAAAGATAATACTTCTAAAAAGCTAACATCTATTCAATGTCAATTTGAGCCGACATCTGAATTATGAGTAAGAGTTAGCCAAGCAAGGTGTGTCAGGGAAGCATTCCAGGCAGGTGGACAGGAAGTGAGAACGCCCTGAGGCCCGAAAGAAATTGGTGAGTTTGAAAGGTCAGCATGATAGAGGTGGGTGGGGACCAGATCAGCCTGGGCCTTGTAGGTCAGTCGTATTAGTTACAGACTAGGACAATCAAACACAACTAAGTTTTATTAACCTTTCTTTATTATTAAATCCTCTGAACCTCTACTTCATTATATTTTAAAACTTCCTGGGTCAGGCATGATAGCTCACACCTGTAATCCCAGCACTTTGAGAGGCCAAGATGGGAGGATCTCTTGAGGCCAGGAGTTCGAGAC